TTTCATAAACTTTGGCATTACCAATAAGCCTGTAATATCCCCCTAGGTCTTTGTCCACTGACATCATACGTTATATCTGCTCGTAGTCCTCCTATGAAACAACTCATAAGAAAAGGCTCCTGTAAACAGGGATGATCTCTTCTGGCCAACCGGACGCATTCCTCAAATTGATCAATATAAGTGAGTACAGTTGTTTGCTGATGTATAATCTTCAATAACTCCACAGCTTCATATGCATTTGCTTGAGTAAATCTATCTGCAATCATATTACAGAAATCTTGCCAACTGATCATTTGCCATGGGACATATATATTCTTTAACCACACATTTGCTCTGCAATAAAAAAGTCCAGTTGCAATGTTAACCCATTGTTCATATGGAGTACCAGACATGTCACTGAATTTCTCACATTGCTGCAACCATCCAATGGGATCATCGCCAGCAAATAAAGGTATTTCCAACCTGGGTCCTTTTAAAACAGCATCAGCATAATGAGAAGTACCCCCTAGCTGGTGTACTCTCTCATTTCTATCAATTTCTATGCCAGGTTTACTGAACATAGGTGTTTGCTGTTGAACTCCAACAGTGACAGGTGGTGCAGGAATAAACTGTCCAGTGACATGATTAAAAATGATGTGGAGGTACAGGAGGCTTGTTTGAATTACAAGCCAGTTGTGGAACAGTATTAGGAGGCCAAACCATAGGAGCAGATTGTTGTTCGAAATTATCAAAGACGTATAGAGTTGGCTGTACAATAGGTGGAATTTGAAAATGGCCTGACACATGTAATCCGTTGGGCTGAATAGTATGAATACGGGAAGCCACCTTGAGCCGTTCTGACAGAGAAGGTAACGCTATCAATCATACTAGCCTGATGCATTTGTGACATGGGTAAAGTTGGTGGCATACTGTAAGGTGGTGGACATGCAGGAGGAACACTAGTTACAATGGTAGTTGTTGCTAACTGAACTTTCTCCGGAACTGATACAGTAACTCTAGGAGATTTTGTTAGGGATGTACCTTCTGTAAATGTCACAGTGGCTTCAGAGTGTGAATTTTGTGTGCCTAGGTACTTGTGCATCAAAGAATCAAGAGTGTCAACAGTAATCATCTGTGCACGAATATCCTAGATGTCTGTTGCCGCTTCCTGAAGCCCAGAAATATCCTCCTTCATTACTTCAAGATCGGCTTCCAGTTTCTCCGTAGCTGCCTGTGCATCAAAAACGCCAGCAGCCGCAGCTTGGTTGCGCATCTGCCCATTCTCCTGATCTGAGACTTGAAGAAGAATTTTACACTGGAAGATTTCCAGAAATCTGAATCAAGATCAGATCCTGCTGCCGCCAAACAATCGCCTCCTATGGCACACGGAGTAAGATAGAACCATGGATTTCACCACGAGCAAAAGTTTTGCCTGCAACCCTGTTCTAGACGCTCACTCTGTACCCGAATTTTTTACCGCCATTGAACGCTACCGGATCACACCGCCGCCGCCACAAAATTGGGGAGAGGAGGGTGGGATTTTACCAGAACGGAGAACCACCGCGCTTCCCAGCCCAAATCGCCGCCAAGGAACACTTGCTATGATGGATACCTTCGTCACGCCCCGCTCGCAGATTTGGACGAATTTGGGGGAATTTTGGACGCTGGAAATAGGGTTCGTGGGTAGTTGAGATCGCAGTAGACAGAAGAGAGTAACTACACTACGCTATGATAAACTAAATTGATAGTTTTCTCTCATTCTCATTTCCAGCTGATCAACATATAAAGAGGGTTCGAGTTACAGTGAGTAATAAGGAGCTGTCAGTAGCTGTTTGATAATTAAACGAGAAGGTAAATCACTCAGTGGTAAGTGGAGCCCAAACTAGAATCGTTGATCCTGACTTATCACCCCGCCTTCATCAGCCATTCATTATCTGAACTTCAATCGCTGCTACACTTCAACACTCTTCAGTTAACTGTCTCCGCATTCAGAGACTGATACTCACAAGTGAAATCAAATTTGATTTTGAAATTTCACAATGTTCTACCAGTGTGCGTGTGTGGTGTGAACCTATGTTGGATCTTGTGGCTCTGGTGGTTTGCTTTATATATAAAGCGGGGCGAAAGCCTTTTTCAGTAATTTCACAATGTTCGTGTAGCATGTTACACTGTATTTTTAAAGAAATTTGGAAACATTAGAACGATGCTTTTCAATTGATTTCACTTGTTTCCACCGAAACTTGGTCTCCACTGGATATTCTCTCGGCTGCGCATGGGGGCTGCATGAGTGGAAGGGTGGCCCGCCAGCAGCGGTCAGGGTAAGGGCTAGGATCCTTGGAGTTTAGGTCGGGTAGGGCAAGGCACGCTCAATGGCGCTGAACTTATACACGTAGAAAGGTCAACCATCCAGGACATCAGCGACGATGGGCACCTCATCACAATTGACCACCGTGCTAAGTAGTGCTAGGGTTGTGCTGCCTCAATGCCAGGGTGGCTAGCACTGACCTATAAAGGGTCAGATTTGGCTGAAGTTTCAGGAAGGGGTTACTTTTGGCTAAAGTTTCATGGTAAGATCAGAATTGTCAATTTCACCAAAGAAACAAGAAAATATAAATCATGTCCACAACATGGTACAGATGCTTGTAGTGACTAACTGTCCATAACTTTTTTAAATGAAAATTAGATAAGATTGGAAAATAGAAACAAATACAGATAAATTAACTATCATATTAAGTCAATCAAGGTGATGTAGCAGCCTAGCAGCTCATTTGAAAGATCAAACACATTCCCATGACATGATGGTCTTGAAGAGCATTCCTCATAAAGTCATAAGTCATACCTTGAGCACATCTAGCTGCCTCTCAGTAAGCCCATGGTCCATTGACGAGCTTAGGTTCCCAATCCAAGTAATTACCGTGTCTCCATCGTGTAGTATGTAACAAAAAGAAGAGTTCAGCGATGGTGCTGCCTGGTAAGAAGTACAATATCAAACTTTACAACATGTGGCATAAATATACGAGCTAAGATAAAGTGCCATAACACGAACACAATGCCATGTCCAGTGAAGATAGATTGAAACAGAATGTACCGTGTCAACTTGAATAGCTTGCATATTTTCTGGTCCTGAACTTGAACACGGAAAAGTGCAACCCTGTTTTCCGAATATGTATCATCCTCAGTGTCATTTTCCAAGACATATTTCTTACAACCAGTACTGGCACCAACCTGCATTATTGACATTTTTCACAACGTAAGGGTGCATACGTTGTCCCAGTAAAATGATATATTTGGCAGCGAAGCTTAACAGAGTGAGTTAGTAAAAGTCTGACCTTGAATATAACCAAGTTCTGAAATATAGTAAAAAAAACCAATCGGTTTTCTTGATAAAGGCAAAACCTGTGATAACTAGGGTTTTTTGGATTGAGATAATCAAGCAAGATTTCACAAATATTTCAGTCTCAGACAAGTTGATTGATTTACCAGAACTGCCTGAAATTTTAGTGAATCAACCATCGCTAGCAAGGGAAGTGGCTGCAGTCCTCTCTCCTGTCCTCACCAAAAACACGCAATTAGGTAATCATTCTCCAGCTTGAGAGCTTTCAAGTATGACTAGAAATGTGGTCCGCTCATATTCTCACTAATCCAAAGCTTTTTCTCCATAAGAGCAAAAGTATGCTAGATATATTCGCGCTTACCACAACACAAAGGTAACTATTGCAGAATCTATTCCCTGAATTTATTTAATGTAATCACAGACATGGGAAGCATCTGGTATACTTCATAATAACAGATATGATAACTAATAAATCTTTCTCAGGTGGCATATGTTCCGCTACCTCTAGGAAGGTATATTGGTATGTTTGGTTGGTATCCACAACCAGCCCTACCAATTTTTTGGTCATGGCCAGAAACAAAAATTGGCACACCCATACCAACTTGCCTGACTCTACTCCATTTTCTTCATAATAACAGATATGATAACTAATAAATCTTTCTCAGGTGGCATATGTTCCGCTACCTCTAGGAAGGTATATTGGTATGTTTGGTTGGTATCCACAACCAGCCCTACCAATTTTTTGGTCATGGCCAGAAACAAAAATTGGCACACCCATACCAACTTGCCTGACTCTACTCCATTTTCTTGTCAACATTGGCCAAATCAAAGGCGAGCAAAACCTTGGCCGAAATTTTAGCTAGCCAAATATTTCGTAGCGTGAATTTTTTTTTTAATTTTTTTTGAAAGGAACACAGTTGCATTCCATTACATGGTGTTGCTGGGCAAGTCACCAGCTACAGCATCTGATACAAAGTTTGGGAATTGACCAAGCCATATTACACAAGACCCAATACTTAAGCCCCTACCATACGCAGCTAATGTGTGCGCTGCTTGATTACAAGATCTTGGACAGTGTTTTATACATACCCCAGATGCATCTAAGCCGAAACTTTATTTCCCTAAACGCAGCACCTAGAGCAGATAATCATAGGCTTCAGAATTGACGGCTTGCTCCAATGAGATTGAATCAGTTTCTAGCATCACCTGGTCGCATCCTAGTTGTATTGCTGTGTACTTATGCTCAAAACAAACGTAACTATACAAAAAATGTACAGTGAGTTGAAAACAATTAGCATCTGATTTGAACCGGGCTGTTGAAAGAGAGAAATACCTGAGTAACATTGATATGAAGTTAGTTTGCACATGCAGTGGTAACTAGCATGCCACATCATCCCTGAACAGAAAATAGACAACAGAATCAAAGATTCAGCTAATGATGTTGTGACATGTAGCACTTCCCAATCAGGACAGTCATGAATGAGGAACACATACCTCTGGAAAAAATATTAATCCATATTTGTTCTGCCCAATGACAGCATGGATATCCAGGATATGTACAATGCTGATCTAACTCCACCAAATGCAATCAACACTAAATACATTTGGCAAGCACTGCAGTATTGTTGCATCTTTATGTGAGCTGTGTGTTTTGAACGAGGTAACATGGAGGTTGTTTTTCTTCATTTCACATCACATCAACAAACTGAGTACAATCAATATCTTGGAGAGTAATCTTGCCAAGTAGATCGCTTGCATGCATGGAGCACAGTGGGAGGCATTTCTTGTTCAGACTCTCATGAATGGCACTTAGTCCTTGGACCCACTTTTTTTCATTCAAAGGGTCTACATTTAGGCGATTCTGCAGAAGACGTATTCGGTAAAGGGCAGTTTCTGTTCCAGCACAAAAATGTGCCAGGCACGGAAGGGAGGTGTCATCGACTGCCAATCTGACCAAGATCATTGTCAAGGCTCCATCCACCACAACAGGAAAAAACTTATAAGCCGAGTGCCCAAAACACTAGGCTTATGCCGGTTTGCACTCGGTTTATATATAAGCCGAGTGTTTTTCACGGCTTACAGGACACGGCTTACTAAGGAACGGCTTATCAAGGGTAAGCCGAGAGCCACGGGGAAAACACTCGGTTTATATAAGCCGGGTGCCAGCGAGCACACGGTTTACATGTAAACCGAGGGCCGAGGCGAGCCGCACGGTTTATATGTAAACCGAGGGCTGAGGCAAGCACACGGTATAAATGTAAACCGAGGGCCCCCAACACGGCTTATATTTAGCGGGGTCGCCGGATAATGGCTTATAAGCCGGGTGCCGCGTCCTTGGACACACAGCTTACAGCCCAGCAGGGTCATGGCATAATGGCTTATAAGCCGGATGCCAGGCCCTGGGACACACGGCTTACAACCCATTGGGGGCATATACATGCCTTATAAACCGGGTGCTTGCCGCTGGGACACACGGCTTATAGCACTCGTAGCATTTTATTTGTGTACGTATGCAACTATATGCTACAAATGGCTTCTGGGAGCACCAACAATATATATACAGCAAAGTTCACAGCAACAATATACTACAAGTTGACAACCATAACAAACCAACCATGAGTAGTCCACAAATGCATACATATTCAAAGAAGGTTCACAAAAACATGTGTACATATGCAACAAGAGTTCACAAACAAAAGGGCCATGAGTTCAAAGTCCACAAGCGTGCATATTCAACAAGGGTTCACCTACAGATGCAACAAGAGTCCACAAATGGAATCATTAGTTCCAAGTTCACACCTAGCATGAGTTCAACCTAAAAGATGCAATCAGCTTCCACCACAGCATGTATGCCCACCATCCATGGCATCCACGATGCAAACCTATAAGTTTCAAATTGAAGCCAAGTAAGAATTTCCAAAGTTAAATTGCAGATCAATAAGGCACAAGATTTAACAAGCATCAACATATAAATTTCAAACTGAAGCTAAGAAGTATGAACAATATAAGGATCAACATTTGAGGGCTCTACCATCAACAATACACAAGTTACAAGTTGAGAGGCACAACCAACGACAAGACACAAGCATCAATAGTGCACAAGCATAGACAACTACCTCGAGTGATCATTGTGGTGTGGAGGTTGAAGCACCATGAGCCCCAGTGGGTGTCACTGGGCTTGCTTGGGCAGGTGCAGATCCACCTACCACAAAGTTATTGGAGCCTTCTCCCGATCGAGGACACTTCAAGCATGAGACGGTAAGATGGTGAGATGCATGATTGAAAAGTTGAAGACTTACAAAGCTAAAAGTAGGAAGCGGTGGAACAGGCGGAAGATCCGGCAAAGTAGAACCCTGCATATTAGTACTGAACCGAGCGAACGTCTCCTGCAGGGCCGCCTGCTGTTTAACCATGAATTCCTGCTGCTGAAACAGGGCTTGCTGCATTTTCATGGCTTGCTCCTGTTGAAGTAGGGCATTGGCCTGAGCCTCCAGCCGCAACCTGGTTTCTTCCTGCCGCAACCTGCTTTCTTCCTCTAGGCGAGCCTGCAATATGCCATCACAACAAGTTTACCATCATTGCAATGCAAAGAAGAAACCCGAAGGGAGATCAATGAAGCAAAACATACATGGAATTGATGGGCGGCGCTCAATAGCAGGACGTGAGCTCGACGTGGTAGCACGGAGGTGGGCAAGTTCTGGAATGTCCTTCTTACGGATGGAACCGTCACCAACATATAACCACCCACGCTTCTTGCCTTGTCCCGACTTGAGGGAAACCGTAACATCAATGTCCTGTGAGGCTGGATCAGACTTGGGCCCGTTGCACTCCTTGAACTTCCCACTATATGCATCAATCCTCAACCCAGCCCTTGGGTTGACCCACCCCCCTTCCAGTTTCTTTGACTTGCGGGAGAGACATAATCCCGTGAAGGTATTGAGCGGCTCTTCACCCTCACCTCTCTCCCTATTCTGCAATAGAAGCAATAATATCCATAAGGGCACAAGTTGAGAAGTTCATAAGCCAAATATATTATTACCTTCTTCTGCACGTAAGCATGGAGGTTGAGGTTGCCTTGAAGGCACGTCGCTCCGAAGCTGCTCTGCGTGTGGCCCTCCACTCTGGGTTTATCCACCTAGATATGATTTGCTGGTAGCAAGGAATCTTGTTGTTGCACCACGGGGGAACCGCCTGAAGTATGTCAAATACATCCAACTTAGGAATGAAACTAAGTTGTTTTAATCGAGGCAATCCCAAGTAATTAAATGGAAACTACCTTCATGTACATGGAATGGGTGAGATGCACTCTCCGGGCTAGCGGCTTTTTAAGAAGGATCTTGCGTTCATGCGCGAAATACTTTACCACAACATTGACGCGAGCCTCGTAAGGCATGTCTTGGACAATCTTCTTGGCAATCTCCTCCACGACCTCATTATTTTCATCCTCCATACCCTCAACGCAAGTAAAGAAGTCCTACCAAAGTGCATAAATTCGCATAAGACAGTTATCAATGCAATGATTTTGAATATTGGCAAAGAAATAACTAAGAAAATTGACAAAGAATTTTACCCAAAAAATCGTTGACCACCCGCTCAGCAGCACTGCGGTACTCCCTGTCCCACTTGTCTTTCGTATCTGGAGCGCGTTTCCAATGCTCCCAAGACCAAGCTGGCTCCTCCTCACCGTCTCCTATGGGAACCAGGCCGGGGTAATAATGCCTACAAAGACATCTAATGATGGTGCTTGGCTATCGTGGCAGGATTGTGCCTTCTGGAATAACCACCAAGGCCCTGCACAATGGAAAGGCAAGTAAGTTAGTATCTGCAAAAAACTTGAATGTAAGGACGTAGTTAAGGGTCCACAGAAGCACTTACCTCACACCAACTGGTTTAACAATGATCCCCTTATGTGGATATGGTCGCGAAGGGAGCGTGGCCACCCCACGCAACCAGATTTTGGTCTCCTTAGGAACCGGCCATTCCATGTCCTTTGCCGATTCCCCCACCTCATACTCTCCCTCCTCCAACTCCTCCTGCACAACTAGCTCCTCCTCCCCATCCTCCTCTGCCTCCTCTTCCCTCTCCTCCATAACTAGCTCCTCCCCCCTCTCCTCCTCCGACTCCTCCTCAGAATGGGCAGAGGGGATAGGGCTAGCAACACGGGACACAAGGGTACGACCATTTCGTCTACCCCGGGTACCATCCACCGTGGCTCGTTGTGCGGGTTTGGCCCTGCCTACCTGTGTGGAACGTGTCGCACCGGTGCCCCTCTTTATGACCCCCGTCAACTTGCCTAACCTTTCAATCACATTGCCAAGTCTCACAACTTTGTTGTTCTTTTTGTTGCCTGGCATCTTCTTAACACCTGCTCCAAGAAACAATAATGCGATTAGTTCATGTTGAAAACTTCATATCCAAAACAAAATCAGTTCAAAAAGGCACATTTAACAGATCATATGCAGAAGTAGAGCAGTTCAAAAGTTCAATTTCAAAACTTCATATGCAAAACTAAAGCAGTTGAGAAGGGCATGTTTAAAAGTTCATATGCAAAAGTAGAGCACTTCAGAAGTTCATGTTTAAAAGTTCGTATGCTATCCAAAAAAAATCATATGCAAAAGTTCACAATCATAGGGCGAGAACTTCTTGGCAAGAAGCACAAGTTCATAGAACATAGAGTTGTCTTACATCTTGGATACTAAGGAGTATATTGCAGGTGCCTTCCAGGAAGTTTACCTAATTTCCTGGTTATATGTCAAAAGAACACATCTTGGAAGACAAAAATATGTCCTGGTTTACTTAATATCCAGCTTCTTGGTTATATCCAAATACGAAAGACAGAGATCCAGAAAGTTTACTTAATATCCTGGAAGACAGAGATCCTCACCTCACGTCGGTGCTAGGTGCTATGTGGGCTGAGGATAATTGGCCATGAGCAATTTAGTTGGAGGTGTCCCTGGGAGTCTTCTTCCTCCAAACTGACCAAGTTGACAAGAACATCGAGTCAGCTCAAATCTTGCTGCCCTGTTATATATATATATATATATATGTACTACTCAGAAATAACAGGTTGCAAATAAGAAATTGCAGACTACTCTGAATTCAAGCTTTGACTCATCAAAAGTCTGCGACCTGTTATATATATATGTACTCATTAAAAGCTTTTACTCTGAATGCAAGTTTTTCTTGCTGCCATGAGTGAAAGCTTTTATTAACTAAAAAGTACTCTGTTATTGTATCTATCACGGCGCAAATTGGCAGAATTTAATTTACTTCTGAATTTTTACAAATTTCTGAAACTCGCAAAAAATTGATTATGCGAGACAGTGAATCAAAATACTACTTTGACAGTGTCAAACTACGCATATTTGTATTAGAACATATACAACAGTGATCATATCTGTTGGTCGGGTAGCTACTTGACCATGGTAATGCTATAAAGCCTAGTACAGTTTTTATTTTCGGTTGGTACAACATTGCACACTTTCTATTTCTTCAGTCGTATCAGGCCTCGCTTGGTAGCTTTGTTCAGATACGTTTGAGACCCAGCACAACACGAACACAGATGAGGGATAGGAGTTGAGGGGCGCTACCTTGGGCCTCGATGCGTGGTGGCGACCGTCGATGAAGCAGAAGAGTTGAAGAGGACGACGGTGCAGGTGGCCGGCAGCGTCGGAGTCTAAGAGGAACGGGGCGGCGACGCCTGAGGAGAAGGTGCTCGAGGCGCCGGTGTCGGTGACCTCGGGCCGGGCGGAGACGTTCCCGGCGTTCTTCTCATCCTCGCCGAGCACCTTGCCGCCGGAGGAGGCCCAGCGACC